AAGTAGACCTTTGCAAGGGCTATTGGAATCCACAAAGAAAAATGAGGATAGCCAAGTATTTTTTTCAAGATAATTAGCTTTGAATCTTAGCAAAAATGCTGACAACTGCATTTTTCTAAAAATTGAAGGAAAGGATATTTCTTCACAGATTTCCTTAAAATTTGCCTTTACATACAGAAAAGCAAACACATTTATAAAGATCTTAAAAGTTAATGGTAAATGGAAACATAAAAACCATTTTTGGTATATTTTTAATACCAAAATCGTTGCAACGGCGCTTTTGCCATCTCTGACAGCCCTCCTCTGGTTCAGCTTAAATGCATCTTAATACCTTTTTCTCACAACCAGAAAATAATCACGTGTTGAATAGGCTTGCCACTTCCATTTCATAACATAAAATGTAGCGGTAACCACGCGTTTTTCAAAGTTTTTAATCTTTCCTGTCACCTCCCCAGTCACACATGTCCAATATACACAAACAGATACCAATCGTCAAAACACCCTAATCAATCCTACCATTGGTAAATGATCACTATTCGTCAAAGTAGCCTTGTCGATTAGTGCCATTGGTACCATTGGCACAAATCGATTCCAAAGGAAAAGTAGTTAGTCGATTGGTATACCATTTGTTAACTACATATATTAACAACCGAGGCTTGCGCGTAAACTACTTGTCGATTGGTACCATTGGTACCAATGGAAAAGTAGACAGCCGATCGGTATGCCATTTGTATTTGCATAAAGCGTGCGATCCCAAAAGCACTAAATAAATACAACATGTATATTCTTCGTTCTTAAAGCGTGCGAACCCAAACACACGGTAAATATAATGCCCTACATACAATATGTATATTCTTCGTTCTTAAAGTGTGCGAGCCTAAACACACGCTAAATTCAATTTATATTCTTCGTTCTTAAAGCGTGCGAGCCCAAACACACGCCAAATACAACGCCCTACATACCAAATAAAAAAGAAATGGCCGCGCGAAATCCTCGCCACCAGAATTTCGCGCGGCCATTTCTTTCTCGCGGTTTTCTTTCCAGTCAAGCACGACGGACTAAGCGAAAGAAGGACTACTCGTAGTCGGCTATCAAAAATCAAGAACGTATAATATATCTTCTATTTAGTGTGTGTTTGAGCCCGAACGCTTCAAGAACGAATAATATACATTGTTTTAAAGGTGTGTTTCGGCTCGCTTTAATAACGAAGAACATACATTGTATTTACCGCGTGTTTGGGCTCGCACACTTTAAGAACGAAGAATATACATATTGTATTTATTTAGGGCTTTTGGGCTCCCACACTTTACTGAAGCAAACACAAATGGCATAAGAACGAAGAATATAAATTGTATTTAGCGTGTGCTCGGGCTCGCTTTAATAACGAAGAATATACATTGTATTTAGTGTGTGTTTGGCTCGTACGCTTTAAGAACGAAGAATATAAATTGAATTTAGCGTGTTTTTGGGCTGGCACGAGTTAAGAACGAAGAATATACCTTGTATTTAGCGTGTGTTTGGGCTCGCTTTAATACATGTAACGAAGAATATAAATTGTATTTAGTGTGTGTTTGGCTCGCACGCTTTAAGAACGAAGAATATAAATTGAATTTAGCGTGTGTTTGGGCTCGCACACTTTAAGAACGAAGAATATACATATTGTATGTAGGGCATTATATTTACCGTGTGTTTGGGTTCGCACGCTTTAAGAACGAAGAATATACATGTTGTATTTATTTAGTGCTTTTGGGATCGCACGCTTTATGCAAATACAAATGGCATACCGATCGGCTGTCTATTTTTCCATTGGTACCAATGGTACCAATCGACAAGTAGTTTACGCGCAAGCCTCGGTTGTTAATATATGCAGTTAACAAATGGTATACCAATCGACTAACTACTTTTCCTTTGGAATCGATTTGTGCCAATGGTACCAATGGCACTAATCGACAAGGCTACTTTGACGAATAGTGATCATTTACCAATGGTAGGATTGATTAGGGTGTTTTGACGATTGGTATCTGTTTGTGTATATTGGACATGTGTGACTGGGGAGGTGACAGGAAAGATTAAAAACTTTGAAAAACGCGTGGTTACCGCTACATTTTATGTTATGAAATGGAAGTGGCAAGCCTATTCAACACGTGATTATTTTCTGGTTGTGAGAAAAAGGTATTAAGATGCATTTAAGCTGAACCAGAGGAGGGCTGTCAGAGATGGCAAAAGCGCCGTTGCAACGATTTTGGTATTAAAAATATACCAAAAATGGTTTTTATGTTTCCATTTACCATTAACTTTTAAGATCTTTATAAATGTGTTTGCTTTTCTGTATGTAAAGGCAAATTTTAAGGAAATCTGTGAAGAAATATCCTTTCCTTCAATTTTTAGAAAAATGCAGTTGTCAGCATTTTTGCTAAGATTCAAAGCTAATTATCTTGAAAAAAATACTTGGCTATCCTCATTTTTCTTTGTGGATTCCAATAGCCCTTGCAAAGGTCTACTTTTTCCGTTTGGTCCTAACCTGGCGCAAAAACCTTTGTATTTAGTAGGCACCATCCTTAAATAAGTTATCATGGGCGTGAGGGTACCTTCGGACATGGGGGAGGGGGTGAGGTGGGGGGTGGGAGCGGTGACCTTCTTGCTTGAAAAAATTACGCAATCCCCTAATGCGAGAGTGTTGAAATCGGGATGCAAACGCACTAAAAATGCGTTAAAAACAAAAACGTTCACCAAGATAGTTATTGAAAGCTTTCATACTCAGTGACCTCTATCAACAGTCTAAATCTAGTAAATCTAAAACTTGTTAAAAGAAAAAGTTCTACCTATTATGGCGTTCGTTCAGCGATCGGCTGATCAGTAACAGAGACATGGGGCCCGTTTCTCGAAGGTCCCAAAAAGTTTTCCCACCCGAAAAGTCGTAGCAAAATCTCAAACCTTATGACCACAGAGCTGTTTTATGCACATATTCTTAATATGATCAGAGGTTACCTTTATACAAGAAGTTTCAATTCAGGTGTATACACCTCTCTGTCTTTAAATACCGATTAACTAAAAATGGCTTTGCGGGTCCGAAAAGTTTCCGGGGCTTTCGAGAAACGGGTCCATGGGCCGTTTGGACGACCGTTACAGGAGCTATCCTATATTCGAGACGAGCGTCTTGACATATAGGCTTTTGTACATTATGCTTTTATTTCCCCACTAGAATGCTCCACCTTAACGCTCCATTTTTCCCACTAAAATGTACGGTCTTCCCCCAAAAGGTCACTAAAATGCTCGGTTAATGCTCATACATAGGATTTTCAAATTTTAATAATTTTTGTGTTTTAACACAATTAACAGCTCTGGGTGCTTAAAAAAACGTATAGGTAGTATAACTCAACGTGTATAGTAGTTTTAATAATGATCTTTTAATTTGATTTCCTTACTCGGTTGTAGTAGGGTGGCAGTTGAACTTTTTCAATCTCAAGTCTCAGTTCATTTTCTCGTAAAAAGTAATTTTTACTTCTATTTTCTGTACGTTGAAAAAATAATTTTCTGGGGAAAATGCCATTAAAATGCTCGAATAATACTTAATGCTTTTGCTTCACTAAAATGCTCGAAAACATGCTCGCATAATGTACAAAAGCCTACCGACATACTAAAGACGTTCAAAGAACAATACGAGGCTTTACCAGAAGTCGTCTTGTTTCGGCCACAGCAGACTTGCAGCGTACACTGCAAGCCCTCTATGAATTCAAAAGCTACGTAAATAAGATGGTAAACAACATGGACGTACTAAAGAAACATCTCCAAAGAAAAATTCAAGAAAAAAATTGTAACACCCCATTGTAAAGACATAACAATGATTTGGTCTTCTTTCGCTTTGATTCGTGTCCTTGTTTTGGTGATGAAAAATTGGCGATACACATTTAAACGACTTGTAGCTAACAGAAAACCCCAGTTCACTCATATCATTTCAGTATAAGCCCTTTTTGCAAGGCAAATGTCAGAGAAAGTAGCTTACAAGCCTTGAAACCTAAAAGGAAAGGCCGGAAAGGAAAGGAAAGGCCGTTGTCCCGACTGATTACCATGGCGTCTTCGGTGCCCAACGACACTTCAGATCAGGAGCAGATACAAATGATACACTTTACACGGTACTACTTTAGGTACCAACTCTTTTAAGAAACCACTCGACGGCCTACAGACCCCCAGTCGGGCATCTAATAACACAGAGAGACTGACATAAAAATTACGAACCTCTTTTTACAGGTTTTGGAAATCACATCAACAGCATTATTTTGTAATGTTTTCTCTCAAGTGTCGCTGCCCGAGTCATGAGCGTATTACCCGAAAAAGTACGTAATTTTCGTAGCTGGGGGGCTCCAGCGCCTCTCTTGCCCCCCTCCCCCCTCCCCGGAGCTCGAACGCCTATGTAATTTATCGAGCCATTTAAAGAAAATGTAGACAAGAACTTTACCAGACATGATCTGACCTTAACCTAGCGAGATCCAGTGTATTCAAAGTATCGTGCAACAACGTACATGCTTCTTTCCTGATATAAGGTCCATCATCTGTTGAAGCTGAGTTAACGTTTGCTGAACAGCTAATACATCAAGATGGTCAGGGCCGAGCTTTTTCAGACGAATGGTAAGTGCACGTTGATGATACTCTTTGGCCTGCTCCAAGTCACCCAGGTCTTGGTGAACAGTACCAAGGTTGTTGTAACACGTTGCCACATCAGGATGGTCCGGGCCGAGCTTTTTCAGATGAATGATAAGTGCACGTTCAAGATACTCTTTCGCCTTCTCCAGGAGACCTAGGTCGATGTGAACAGTACCAACGTTATTGTAATACGTTGCCATCTTAAGATGGTCAGGGCCGAGCTTTTTCACACCAATGGTAACTGCACGTTCATGATACTTTTTGGCGTGCTCCAGGTCACCCAGGTCGTGGTGAACAGTTCCAAGGTTATTGTAATACATTGCCACATTAAGATGGTCAGGGCCGAGCTTTTTCACACCAATGGTAACTGCACGTTCATGATACTTTTTGGCCTGCTCCAGGTCATCCAGGTCGCGGTGAACAGTACCAAGGTTATTGTAACACATTGCCACATTAAGATGGTCAGGGCCGAGCTTTTTCAGATAAATGGTAAGGGCACGTTCACAATACTTTTTAGCCTGGTCAAGGTCACCCAGGTCGCGGTGAACAGTACCAAGGTTATTGTAACACCTTGCCGCATCAAGATCTTCAGGGCCAAGCTTTCTCAGACATATGGTGAGTGCACGTTCATGATACTCTTTGGCCTGCTCCAGGTCACCCAGGTCGCAGTGAACGGTACCAAGGTCATTGTAACATGTTGCCACATCAGGATGGTCAGGATCGAGCATTTTCAGATAAATGGTAAGTGCACGTTCATGATACTCTTTGGCCTGCTCCAGGTCACCCAGGTGGTGGTGAACACTGCCCAGATTATTGGAACACATTGCCACATCAAGATGGTCAGGGCCGAGATTTTTCAGATAAATGGTAAGTGCACGTTCATGATACTCTTTGGCCTGCTTCAGGTCACCCAGGTGGTGAACACTACCTAGGGTATTGTAACACATCGCCACATCAAGATGGTCAGGGCCGAGCTTTATTAGACGAATGTTAAGTGCATGTTCATGATACTCTTTGGCCTGCTCCAGGTCACCCATGTCGTGGTGTACACTACCTAAGAATACGTAACATATTGCTTCATCGTCGTCGATGCACTCTTCACTACGGTGAACGAATTCTAATGCTTGGCTGAAGTAGTTCATTGCAACGTCGAATAAACAGTGCATTTGACAAATTTTGCCAAGCTTTTGAAAGGAAGATGGATAATGCTGAACATTTATTATACTGCGCTGGGTGTCTTGAGAAGTATCTCGTTCATGAAACAATTTTTCGGTATTTATAAACAAGGTTTTTAAATGAGGTATGACGGGCTTACTGTAAACAATAGAATCTTTGTCGTTCCAGTTCACCGATGGGTTGCTTTCTACGAACTGAATGAATGATCTAACGGTTGCATCTACAGCTTGAAGTTGCTGGATTTCCGGAAATTCGCCAGTCAAAGAGTTAATGACATCATAAACAACCTGATGCACCCGAACGTAGGCACCACTCTCGTCTTCACCATTTAATATCAGTGAACATCTTTGGATTGTCATAGCAATCATCTCTTTATCTTGAATTTCTTCATCTACATTGAGAATGTAATTGATCACGATGTCTTGATTTACAGGCTGTGGCGCACACACAGAGAGGAGACTGAACGTGTGATGTATGATTTTTTCGCACGTCATTGCCTTTTCAACAGCCAGTGTTGTTGCTGTGGTCATGGATTCTTGGTAGCTTGGATTAGTTTCAGCAAGGATTGTCTCANTCATCTCTTTATCTTTAATTTCTTCATCTACGTTGAGAATATAATTGATCACGATGTCTTGACTTACAGGATGTGGCGCGCACACAGAGAGGAGACTGAACGTGTGATGTATGATTTTGTCGCACGTCATTGCCTTTTCAACAGCCAGTGTTGTTGCTGTGGTCATGGATTCTTGGTAGCTTGGATTAGTTTCAGCAAGGATTGTCTCAGTGCTACCTCGTTGGCCCTTGCTAAGCTTCTCTAGGTAGTCGCTCCAACCAAAATGTGACGTTGCCTTGTTTTGACGCACCTGTCTGACATAGGTGGCGGCGCTTGCCAAGGCAAGAGGCTGGTTGTCCAGTGCCTGCGCAACTTCTTTTTCCATCTCGCTGTCATCCATACATGAAAGCTCTGCCAACAAACAACTGGCATCGTGAGGCTTCATACCTTTACTGACTGAGATGTGCTTAATGAAAGAACTTGGCAAAGGGATGGACGGAGTGTCCTGTGTTGTGATTAATAACTGACCATTTGCCCACTGCTCATTTCCAGACTCCGGTAAATGAACATGCACACATGATATGCTAGTAACGTTGTCCACCACCAGTAGCCACGAGGTATAAAGCTCGATTTTTGTGCTAATTAACGTCTTCAGATTAGTGATCTTCTCTCCCGTCGTCAAGTCCTTGCAGTTAAGGGTATTTGTAACGACAAATTCTGGACATTTAAGGCGCCGGGCGAAAGACACGTACGATTCCAGAAGTGTATCTTGGCTTTCAGCATTCGGTGTCATTACAAATGAAGTAGCGCAAGGAATTTCTTTACCTTCTTTGAAGAACCGCTCTGCTACAAGGCCGGCCAACTGAGATTTTCCACTTCCAGGATTCCCTGAGATGTACAGAAAACTTAATTTGCTTTCGTTAGTGCTTTTGAGCTGCTTGAGCTGTTGAGTTATTTCAGCCACCTCAAAATCGCGAGATGCGACGTCGTGTGAAGGTTTGGGAGGAAGAATACAAAAGGAGGAAATTTCGTTGTGTAACTGATTCTCAAGGACCTGTCGTTCTTCTTCTTTTTCTTGCAGCTTCTTCTCCTTTTCTTGAAGTTCCTGTCTCAGGTCATCAACCTTTTCCAAGACCCCTCTTAACTCCTCTGTTGGAAACGTTTTCTGCTTTTGGATGTCTTGAATTTGCCAGGTAGAGAGACCGAGCCCTTGAAATGCAGCATGAACTTTAGCAATGGCGATTTGAAACTCCGGATACGCGAGGTGACCTTTTGGCATGTGCGCAAAGTCAGCATTCCGAAACTTTCTGAGATCATCTATATTTGATTTGACCACTGGATTGATACCGCGGCCGATAGAATCGGAGTAAAGAATGGCGTAAAAAAGCATGGTGCAATCCCATTCTGCTCTGTCTCCGTTAATCATGGTAGCTAGGAGTTTGGCATTTCTTCTCTGGTTTC